TTCCATTTAAATGAAATGTCCAGCGGGGCGCCTGGGTGGCGCAGTCGGTTAAGCGTCCGACTTCAGCCAGGTCACGATCTCGCAGTCCGTGAGTTCGAGCCCCGTGTCAGGCTCTGGGCTGATGGTTCGGAGCCTGGAGCCTGTTTCTGATTCTGTGTCTCCCTCTCTCTCTGCCCCTCCCCCGTTCATGCTCTGTCTCTCTCTGTCCCAAAAATAAATAAACGTTGAAAAAAAAAATTTTTTTAAATGAAATGTCCAGAAAAGGCAAATCTGGATCTGAGAGTGCCTGGGTCTGTGGACACAGATAAGAACAAGGAATTTTGAGGATTATAAAAATGTTCTAAAATTGGATTGTGATGATGATTGCACAATTCTGTAAATGTACTAAAAATCACAGAATTTACACTTAAAATGAGTGAATGTTATGGTATGTAAATCATACCTCAATAAAGTTATTAAGAAAAGATAAATGAGAGACGTATGAGCCTTGCCTTATGATACTTCAGAATAACCAACATAAGATTATAATAGAAAAAGACAGATAATAGATAAAAGAAATCTCAGATATAAGTCCTAGAATTTAATTATGATTCATATATTTCTACATGGTAGGAAAGAAAGTAATGTTAATACATATTGTTGTCTCTTTAAACCAATAAAGTAATATATTTAGACATCCATATTACACCAAAATATAAATTCCAAATGATTAAATAATTCAAGATAAAATAATACAAACTAAGGAAAACTAAGAGATAATATGTACAGTAATTAGAGCATTTGTCCAATCAAAACTGGACATTTACATGATATCAGGAAAAAGGCAGACATATTTGACTACATAAATATTCAAACTTTTTTATGATAAAATAAAAACAAAATAAAGAAAAGTAACGAATCTGGATCAATATTTGCAACACAGTTTGCAAACTACTGTTAATATTGCTAACAGACAAAATATTGCTAATGGACAAGAAAAACAACACAGAAGAAGATAAACAGACAAAAGATATGAATGAGCAACTAATTTGCTGGAGAGAAAATCCAAATTATTAACGGACACTTGAAAAGATAGTAACACTCACTGGTAGTAAGGTAAATGCAGAATAAGCTAAATACAGAAAACATTTGTACCCATCAGTCCAAATGATATATAACATGTATATCTAGAGAGTATACAGGGGAAAACCACACTTATTCATTACTTAGGATATGTGAACTTTCCAGAAAGCAAACTAACAACATATATTCAAATTAAAATTATATCCACTTTGATATTAGAATCCTGTTACCGAGAATCACCTCCATATAAATAAAAGCATCCAAACTGAACGATTTATAAACAAGTTTGTTTACTGAAACATTATTCATTGTGTCAATATCTGGAAGCAAAGGTAATGCCTGTATAAAAGACAGTTGTATATATTAAGGCACATCCTCACCATGGAATATTAGGTTGTAATTTGAAAGAAATAAATTAGACCTAAGCCATTTGACCAAGATTAGTATGTCCATGGTATTGCTGAGTGAGGGAGAAACAAGATAAAACTTGATATTTAAAGGGAGTTTTTAGGGGCGCCTGGGTGTGGCTCAGTCGGTTGGGCGACCGACTTCGGCTCAGGTCATGATCTCACACTCCGTGAGTTCGAGCCCCACATCGGGCTCTGTGCTGACAGCCTGGAGCCTGTTTCAGATTCTGTGTCTCCCTCTCTCTCTGACCCTCCCCCGTTCATGCTCTGTCTCTCTATGTCTCAAAAATAAATAAACGTCAAATAAAAAAAAATTTTTTTTAAAAATAAATAAAGGGAGTTTTTAGAAGACAGAATAACCATGAATGTGTAAAATGCGTATGTGTATCTGCACACATATGCATAAGCACTTATATGTGATTCTATGAGTAGGAGAAAGCTATGAAAGAAAATGTTTTCAGTTACTGGGTTTCTGAAGAGGGAGGTGATGTGGTTGGAGAGAAAATAAAAACGGGAAAGGAGAGGTAGGTAAAGAAAAAAAAAAAAGAAAAAAATAAGACTGGACCACCATGAAGCACCATGCATAAAAAAATCTCATTTCCACATTCTCATAAAATTATATATGTGTCTTTATGTGTAAAAATATTTCAAAATTACTTTCAAAATGTCAAGTTCATACTTCGTGGTTGAACATACTTAAAATCATTTTCCACAAATGATCTCCAGAGTTTTGAAATAGAAATTAATGGACTACTGTTTTAAATGCAAATCTCCTAATATCTTTTCTGATTCTTCATTTCACCCCAAGTCATGTTAATTTGGATCCTGGAAATTGACATAGATTTGTGTGCTTTTTCCATTAAGGGAGGAAGAACTTGACTGAGGACAAAGTGCAGTGGGGGGTACTTTGTTTTAAGATTTTATTATTTTTTAAAGTAATCTCTACACTTGATATGGGGCTCAAACTCACAACCCCGAGATCAAGAGTCTCATGCTCCATTGACTGAGCCAGCCAGAAGCCCGTGTGGGGGGTACTTCTGAGTGGCTTGGAGGTTTGGTACTCTGTAATCTCAAACCCTACCATGTATCACTGTTGAACTCTTGATCAATTCCCTAATTTTACACATGCAGTCCAATATAATAGTTAATTCTAGTAGGGCTGTAATTCAGCAAGCCAGAGAATGAACTTCTGGGTTTGACTTTAGAACATCTCTAAGCCGTAAGTAAGGTTAGAATTTCCAGATTTGAATTTGTCTTGCTTGAAATTATCCTCGAGTATTAATATTTTTATCTCCACATACTAGATGACTAGAGATACTAGATGACTGCAGCAGCTTCTTACTCATCATAATTTCATTATCAATGGACACATGATTTCAGGTGATCAAGGTGGTAAGTACATTTGCTATTGAATACCATAGTGAGAATATAAGAGAATTAGAATATAAATAGATTTGCTGTCTTTTGCACCTCCATCTATATTAATTTTAAATGTTTATTTATTTTGGGGAGAGAGAGAGTGCGAGCAGGGGAGGGGCAGATAGAGGGAGACAGAGGATCCAAAGCAGGTTCTGTGCTGACAGCAGAGAGCCTGATGTGGGGCTTGAACACACGAATTGTGAGATCATGACCTGAGCCAAAGAGGGATGCTTAACTGACTGGGCCACACAGGCACCCCAACCCTCCTTTAAAAACCCACACATTTTACTGGGGGTCAAGTGAAGAACAAAATTCACTTTTTAGTGCCAATTTGAATACCAGTTTGGATTCTTTTTTTTTTTTTTTAATATGAAATTTATTGTCAAACTGGTTTCCATACCACACCCAGTGCTCATCCCAACAGGTGCCCTCCTCAATGCCCATCACCCACCCTCCCCTGCCTCCACCCCCCATCAACCCTCAATTTATTCTCAGTTTTTAAGAGTCTCTTATGATTTGGCTCTCTCCCTCTCTCTCTTTTTTCCTTCCCCTCCCCCATGGTCTTCTGTTAAATTTCTCAGGATCCACATAAGAGTGAAAAACATATGGTATCTGTCTTTCTCTGTATGACTTATTTCACTTAGCATAACAGGCACATGAAAAGATGCTCAACATCACTCCTCATCAGGGAAATACAAATCAAAACCACACTGAGATACCACCTCATGCCGGTCAGAGTGGCTAAAATGAACAAATCAGGAGACTATAGATGCTGGTGAGGATGTGGAGAAACGGGAACCCTCCTGCACTGCTGGTGGGAATGCAAACTGGCGCAGCCGCTCTGGAAAACAGTGTGGAGGTTCCTCAAAAAATTAAAAATAGATCTACCCTATGACCCAGCAATAGCACTGCTAGGAATTTACCCAAGGGATACAGGAATACTGATGCATAGGGGCACTTGTACCCCAATGTTTATACCAGTTTGGATTCTTTGGTTCCAACCAACATAATTTGAATTTGGTTCACACTAGTTAAGAAAAGGATGTTTTGCAAAGGATACCAGATTAAAAGAGCATTTGTGAAAATGGACTCTGGATTCAGAGTGACTGGCTTGAAATTCCAGCTTCATTTGTAAAACAGGAATAATAGTACTTAGGTCATATAAAGTTGTTGAGATAATTTAAGAGAATTATATGTGTAAAACACTTAACTTACGGTGAGCGTCTTTATTAAAAGTCTAAAGTCTGCTATTGTTATTTTGCTTGTTGAAAAACTTCCTGTGAGGAAACCCAGTAAGCAAGGTATCACTGGAGATTCTCAACAGCAGGAGAACCTGGACAGTATCTTGTTAGGAGACAGGGGTAGAATGACTGGCCTTTTGTGGTTCACATGATCTCCTTGTGGCAAGGGGAGACAAGGCAATGGAGAGCCCCAGTGAGGTGCATAAAATGGGGAAGGGTTAATATCCCTAACCAAGAGTAGTGTGCAGTTACTGGAGGAAGGGTAAAAGGATGTTGGGCAGGGAAAAATAACAGATGTTATCCACAAAATAAATATATATCTATATGTTTATTTACTGTAAAACAATACCCTGGAAAATTATCTGACCCATTTTTCTTCCTCTAAATAGGGCTGACCATTAAGCATCCTAAGAATAGAGCTTGCTGCCTTCTTCTTGAACATGTATTTAGATGCTGACACATACATATCTTTCAACAGCTGACATGATGCTCAATCAAGAAATAATCCCTTGTTTCTAAAAACATTTCTTACAAGCTGCATTCAGACCAGTGTTCTATCAGTGAAGGAAGTGATCCCTATTCCGTAATTTCATATAGTGAAGTTTTTAAGAACACTTCTAATAAAGATGTTGCTAAGAATGCTAGAATAAGAAAGGAGGAAAGGAAAGGAAAAGGAAAAGGAAAAGGAAAAGGAAAAGGAAAAGGAAAAGGAAAAGGAAAAGGAAAAGGAAA